TTTTCAATCACTAACAAACCAAGAACATCCTTTTCCTTAACTCTACTTGCAAAGACCACTATGTTCCCCATAGGATACATTAAGTTTCTTATCAAAGCAAAAACTTTTTTTTTTCCCCAGAAAACAAGAATAAAGTTCATCTATCTTTGAAAAACACTAACAAAAATACTTGAGTGAATTTCGTTGGTTAAAGGCATAGGACTCAGTCTAACAGTGATGGAAAACCAAGTGCAATCTGGGCAGAAATCCTCAGAAAACATGAAACAGAGCGCAATGCGCTCTTAAGAGGCTCCATCTCCCAAAACTGCAGCAGCAACTCATGCTCACACTGTTTCTCAGAGCTACATTTGTTCTCTCTTGCTTTGTGAATCAGGATCTCAGGAAACCTTTGCTATAACTCTCTCCAAGCTAGGAATCCTGCTATCCCTGTGAAAGCTTATTGCCTAGATTTTCAATTCCTTGATAGAGGAAAGAAATCTAACCCCATTTTTTACACAGCTTCTTTCCCAAAATTTTAGTGAACCTTGCTGACATTGGCATTCTTTGCTATTCCTGTAAAAGAGCAGGATTCCAACTTCAGCTTTGTTCTCTTTCTCCTGCTCTATAATGCATCTCACATTTGCCACTGCTAAGGCCCTCAAACACAAAGCTTGAGTAAAACTGTCATCACAAGTCTGCTTTTGTGAAACAAAGTTTAAAAATGCATGGATTGCACACTGCAAAAAGGTACAATCTCTGAGGGCCACCAAGTCAACACCTCACAGTTAGCCTGTATCTCCTAAAAGGATATGAAAGCAAATGAAGGGAAAAAAAAAAGTTTTATTTTCTAGAGTTATTTCTCTGCCTCTAGTACACCAGCCAATTCCATTACTCTCACCTGTACTTTCTGTAAGAAATACCATCTAAAGCCTGGAGAACTTCCAGATCTTTGAAGGCAGCTATAATTACCAAATTCTGCTGAGGCTATTCAGGAGGGTGGGTGGGGGAAGGGCAAGAAGCAATCAATGGCTTAAAACCAAGAAATTTCTGCATGATTCTTGGATAATCAGCCAGTCAGAACAGTTGGATATTTATTTCTGATAATGTGCATTCTTGTGTGAAATTGCCAGAAAATTAATAATTGACAAGGTGGTAGAGTCTGACTGATAACAAGAAGTTATTTCTCTCTACCGAGTTAAGTGAAAAAGTTACCAGCTAGACAAAATCAGCTGTGGAGTAACAAAGAACATCTCCTTTAGAATTCAATTCCTTGTAGGATCAGTGCTCAGGAGGTGCAGCTCAAGGAGAGAGAACTGGCATTCATTTGAGGTACAGGTGTGATCAACAGGCTGTCCTAAATTCCCAATGTTTCAAGACCGCTTGCTTCAGTTTCTCTCACAACATGGTAGTTTAATTCTCTGGTTTAGTCAAAACATCATCCACCAGGGATTATTAATAGCTTTTTACAGCAGCATGTTGAATTATCTAAAAGATGAACAAAATTAATGAAAAGAAGAAATTCCAGCTTTGCACTGTTTTAAAGCACTAAGAAATGAACAGAATAAGAGAGAAAATTATGGTTGCATTAGGGGAACACATGGTCAAAAGCTCAACATGTAAGAGTACCTTCTTTTAGCTAGGTTGGTACACAATTAAATTTCATGAACTGAAAAATTCAGATCAAAAGTAATTTTTAATTAAACACCAATAGCAAAGGGCTTCTGAAAAGTCAATCTCTACATTTACATTTTAATGCAATGTTGAGGCTGTATAAAATCAGCTGTCTTCAGTTAATTTTTTCCATATTCAACTTAATTTGCACCATGTTAACTTTTTTCCACAGACAGCACTCTTTCTGCTGGAAACTACAGCAGAATCATTGTAAAGGTAAACTGACACAAACAAACCCTACTTGTTGAATAACTTCATATGATGCTACACAGAATTTTATCATCCTTGTTTCACAGAATCACCAAGTCATAAAGGTTGGAAAAGGCATCCAAGACCATCAAGTCTAAAGTCTTTGGAAAGCTCCACCTTGTCAATCAGACCAGGGCACTGAGTGTCAAACCCAGTCATTTCTTGAACACCTTCAGGGATGGGGACCCCATCACTTCCCCAAGTTGTCCATTCCAGCATTTAACAACGCTTTCCATGAAGGCATCCCTGAATCTCCCTAAATCTCCCCTGGTACAGACAAATTCAAGTGCAGCAGCAGAAATAAAATAGCAAAACTAATTAAAGACAAGAAACAGTCATCCAGGATTTCATCAAACAGAACATTACACATGACCCCATACTAGTTTCTCAGAAATACACTCAACACTTGAGCTACACTCCAGCCTGTAAAAATAAAGAAAGCAGAGTATTTTAGATTATGTTCTAAAATGACACATATTTTGTTAAGGGTATAGAAAGATTAACACAATTTGAGTGAATTCTAAATAATTCATGAACAAAAGTCATTAAGAATGTATCCAAGTTCTAGCTTACTTTTAAAGCATTCTCAGGAGGAAAAACAAACGTTCAGCAACGCTGCCAGGTGATTTACACAGTTAGGATGAAAAACTACAAACACCAGTTACGGAAAAAAAATATTAATCCACTGGGGAGGCTGCTGCAGAAGACTCAACCTAGTAACCTCTGTCTTATACTGAGAACCTGTATTGTGCAGGATGAAGACTAAAAGCAGAGACAGAAATTCAAATGAGCACTGCAGAAAAAGGATTTACCAAGTTACACATAAAGATCAAAGGTTGATCTATTTGGAATTTTAACAAATATGTAATACTTTAAACTATACATAATGTCTGATGTTACTTCAAAGCCTGCAGACAACTTTCCATAACAAGAAAGCAAAAGAAAAAATTTGAACCTCAGTACATTTTCCAAGAACCAGAACAATAAAATCCGGAGTACTGGATAAACAAACAGGCACCTACTAAAACATTTTGTTTCTAAAGAGTTCCTACAGCCTACACATCATACTTCCAAGCTCCCTACAACTTCAAATATGCAGAAAGTTAAAAATAAATAAAAATAAAACCTATAAATACTATGTGCAACAGAAAGAGAGCTGGAAAGAGAGACTGCACCCAAAGCCTTGAATTCTTATAAAAACAATGAAATCGTGAGCCAAAATGTCCAAAACATCAGACAGTTCCTGCCAATCTGGCTGGGACAGATTCCAAGCAACAAATGCAGTAAAATTTTAAACCTTGATCACTTACCAAGGTATATCAGCATGTCATTAGTGGTAAATCCCATTCTACACTTGCAGAACTCCAGACAAAAGACAGCCTTTATATTTGCATATGTTCCCTCAGTTTACTGAGGGAGAAACAACACCTTTCCCTGCCACTGAGAACAACTGGGAGGAACATCAAATTAATTCAGTACAAATACAGGAGAAACATGCACAGTCTGTAGGTAGCCCTAATATCTCCTTTCAGCATGTCTTGGACTAATCAGTAAACTGGATGCCAATTGGCTTTACTTGGAAGCTTACATTTCATCTAGTTTTCGAGCTCAATTTAGTTCTACTTCTCACTGTCCTTGATAATCATTCTCATTAGAAACTTTCTTCAAATTTCCTCATGTCCCATAAATAGCCAAATTAGGGCTCACAAACTTCATTGACACTGATACAACAGATGAAAAAAAAAATCACACAATTACCCATCTTTGAAAACAGAGTGTATGCAGACCTAAATCCAGAAACTTGTCTGCTAGTTTATAGAACTTATTCCACAACCCTTCCTCATCACATATTCAGTATCATTAGCTCCTTATACAATTCCTTTCAGGATCTATTATTGCATTACACCAGTTTTAATTAAAATTCTGCCTGTGAAAAGATTCAGGATCCAATCTTCACAAGAAAGCTTTACTGAAGCCTATCACGACATTTTCCACTTTCTAAGCTTCAAATTGGCAGCAGAAACTACTGAGTCCTCAATGTATATTCTAGGTCAGAGAGGAACATAAGCTAAATATAAAATAATTTATCCACAGCAAAGAAAATATTTTGCCTACCATCTCTGGATGTAAATAGCTGTTCTTAATCTCAAACTTAATTCTTAAGCTCTTGCACTAATTTCATTTGCGCTTTGAGCCATCAGGCAAACTGGCGTTTTCAGTGACCACACTGCTGCTGAGTTTCTCAGTGAATAGATGTGTTTCTCCTGACTTCCCTTGCTGTGTATGTTATCCACAACCTCCCTGCAAATTTCCACCCTCCTTAGCAAGGTCTTTGTGAGGAAGACTGGCCTGTCTTGTTTGCCTGACAGTCACATGAGAACACTGCTGGCATCTAAAGGGGCAGATGGGCTTGACACCAGGCCAGGTTTTCTTTCAATTGCACTAATCCAATCATGCCAAATCCAGTCCCAAAAATGCATTTACAAGTGATGTAGGCAGCTGGTGCAGGTGGGCTTGGGATCAAATTTAGGTTTTCTCAAAGCAGAGCACAGCCAGCAGCACAGTGTTTTTATGTGACAGTACAGTATATTTGCATAAAAAATTGGAGTATCCCCACATGAAAACACATTAGAAATACACATAGGCAGAAGCTTTTGTTTATATGCAAGGAAAATTATTTTTAAACACTCTTTTCAAACACTAGAGGCATAAAAATCCAACACAAAGGTAGCATGCACTCATGACTCCTTGGAGCAGAAGCAGGTGTCACTTCCCTCTTCAATAGGTCTAGTCTTCACTTGCCAGATATCACTTCATCAAAATGAAACGATAAAGAAACTTTGCAAAGCAACATTTCAGAAACAGTAAGCCCAAATATATCTACTTCTCTTCCATAGTTTCTTATTCTTGCTTTCAAATATCATACAGTCCTGCTGGGTATTTATCACAGATGTAAAATAAATGTATGCTCTCCTTTTCATCCAAAAATTAGAGCACAAAAAGAAAACACTTAAATATTCTATTTCTAAAACTCCAACAAGTTCCATGACTATTTTTAACAAAAATATGTACTTTAAACAAATAAATGAGTTTTTAATTACCTCTCTAAGATGCATGTTTTCCTTCTCCTTCTGATCTAAAATCACTTCTAAGTGATTAACCTGAGATTCAGCCTCTGCCATCCTTCGAGTTCTTTCATTGTCATCTTCCATTCCTTTAGAAGGCAAACCTTTACTTTGCAACATCTCTAGAAGCTTTTTTATTGATTCATCTCTGGCATTTAGTGTTTGCTTTTGTGTTTCAATCCTAAGCTCCATTTCTTCTAGAGTTTTTCTCAACAGGAAGAGCTCTTTAGCTTGTCTATCATGCTCTGCCTGAAGTCTTCGAAAATTCTCCTCCGTGAGCTCAATGGTAAAATGCTCAGCCCCTCGGTTCCCACTTTCTTGCTGGAGAAGATGGTTAAGGTCTCTCTGCGTTCTAAGCTCATCTTGAAGTGCCTGGATTGTCATTTGCAGATGCTGCAATAAAGACGACAAAAGAGAAAAAATTAGCTTAGGATCTGATTGTAGAATTGGTATTTGATTCAAGTTATGTTGTATGCTGTTACAAAAAGTCATCAGAATTAGTAATGGAAGTATACCAAATGATCTAATAAAATATCAAATGCAGGTGACAATATTTGTAATGATATCTTTCAAGTGCTTCTAGAAAGAAAAAAGAAGACAACATACACAGACACAAAATAATGTCAGCTACAGATAAAATTAATAGCAACAAATGCAAACACTAGGCAGTGACACATCCATTAGAACAATCAATGTGTACCTACAAAGCTCAAAGACTCAGTAGTCCGTGTTTTCTAAATTACCTCATAGACTAAAGGTAAATCTGCTCGTCATGGTGCTCAACAGTACTGCTGTTCATGAAGTCAATCAAAGCCCTCACTACAATTAAAGGGGACTCTGGGGAAGGGCTGAGTTGGGGCTGGTTGGTTTCATTTTTCATTTTGGAAGCTAAAGCTATGAAAAGTTTAGTAAACAGGATTACTGCATCTCTAAAAAGCAAACAAAAAAACCACAATAAGCGATACTGAATTTTGAAAAATAAATTTACTGCAAGTAGCGGACAAACCTTTGTTCTTCTGGCATCCAAAAACTGAACAGCATGGTAAACGAAAAAATGAAGCAAAATCAACATAAATAAAGGTCAGATGCAAGCAAAGGAGATTCAACAGAAAGAACTGAATTCAACAAAAAGTATCTTCAACAGAAAAAAATAATTTTATTGAGTTATACAGAAAGGCAACAACAAATTCACAGTACTCAAACATATAAACTAATAGACAGACTTCACTCAGTAGAGGTAACAAAGAAAAGCATATTTGAAATAATCAGTCCCATGATAAATTACAACATTCCTATTGGACTTTGCTGTTCTTTTACAGTTTCAGGTTTTTCAGAACACTGACTTGTCCTAAAATATTTATACTACATCTGAGTACAGGGATCTGTCTCTGTTCCAGAGGTGTGTCTTGCACTTCCTTACTCAAAGCAGATCAAACTCAAAATGGATTTTTCCCATGTTAGGGTTGGAGTACAGATAATTAGCCTAAATTGCTATGGCTTATGATGTTCATTTCAGATTATGTCCTCATCTGAATTTGTATTTCTTCTTATTTTTTCCCTCTACTCATTGCCTATACAACATGCTGAGCTTTAGGAAATATGAATTCCTGAACAGGCTCACAGTCTGTGCTTTAACTGAAGGAATTAGGGGACTTGGATGCATGTCATCAGACCTGTTAGGTTTAATTGATGTTCTGCAACTCCACATTCTAAAAAACAAAACAGCAGAAACCACACCAAATAAAACCCAAAACAGCAACAACACAGACACCAAACTAACAACAAAACATTTCATTTGATACTACCTTCATGTTTTACACAAGTACGTGTAAATCTGTCATGTTTTAGCAATGATTTAAACTAAATTAAAAACTCTAAGCCTTGAGAAACCCCCATTTTGATATCACCTTAAGAAATCAACCTTTTGAAATAATGTCTTTTATCAGTCATTTCAAATGGAAAAGAAGTGTTGCCAGTGGTAGAATTCAGTAAGACACTTTGAATCTCTTCTATCATTAAATAAGCACTACTTTAATGTATGTCCAGATCTTAATTCTCTCAGTATCTGCATCTTACTAGGCACACACTCAGTTGAGAGCACACACATGCAAGCCACTCATTTACAGCCCTGCTTTTATTTAATGGCAACTCTTATCTTTTCTTAATCTCACCATCTTTTTAATTAGATATAATAACTCCATTAAACTGGATTAAAAACTCCAGTAAACTTTAAATCCTTTAGATGTAGAAACTTCCTCCCTTTGAATCTACTAATGTGCCCACTGTTTGTGACCCTGAGACTGACTACACCTTCTGCTTCCAAAATTATTTCACTGTCCTGCCTCTCACACCTGACCAAGAACCTTTTCAGTACTACCATGATACAATTAAGCAACAGCAATATTCAGTAACTACCCGCACCCCAGAAACAGTGAAAATTATTTCCCTGATCTGAATAATGATTTAAGATACATCCTCCAATGTTAAATCAGACAAGAGTTACTACATCATGCTACATTCTATTTACAAATGAATGTTTCTCCAAAGTAGTTCCTATATATCAAATCCCAGTATGTCTATAGAAATCTAGCTGAGCAAAAGAAAACTAATTCTAAAATATCATGTTCTAACTCACAAATGAAAGTAAACCTGACATACACATTCCTAACACACAAAACTTCTGAACGTAAGCTCTAAAAACCAACAATTGTTGGATCAACACAAAAATAATTAGAAATCAGAATTCAAACAACAATTCTGGTTAAAATGAATGAGACAAGTTCCTTTTCTGCCCCCAGCAGCCTGTGCATGCTCTCCTTAGGCTCCACCCAACCCCACGTTTGTCACTAACCATGACAGTAATTCTGGCTGCTTCTCTGTAATTATCTTAAACCTAACAGCCTCAACTGTGGCAGACTACTGCTACTTTGACATAAAAGAATCCATTTTTGTACACCTTCAAGACTTAGAACATGGTGGACCAGATTTAGACTTCTGCTGGCACAGATTTTTCTATCTGCAGCTTGCTAAGGAAAGGAAAGAACAAATGGTGTGAGGGTGGAAAGAAATTGTATAATTAACTGCAGGGGAAGGAATGTAGGAGTGCTGTGAATATCTGTCACATGGTTGTCATTACAGACACAGAACTTCACAGGATTTTTTTAAAAAAACATGTAAGATCTATCACATTTTTTATAATTTCTATTAAAAATGGACCAGTTGACCAGAAATATTTCCATGCCCATTTCTTGACAACATATAAACAGTTCTCTCAGAACTTTTTCAATCCTTCTTTACAGCCCATCTCCAAGAAGCAATCCATGGAACTGTGAATTGCCCCATAAACTGAAACAAAACTGTAAAATGAACATTAACTAATGGCTCTTCCCAGATTTCAATTCATGTTCTACACAAGGAAGTTCCTCTAGTCTATGCCAACTAACTACACCCAAAAGAATCGCCTGCTGAGAACTCTACTGCCTCCGTGTGCCTTGGGCCATATAAACACTTCCAGAGCATCCTAAAGCCACAGATGTGGTGAACAGCAGAGGGGAATGAACTCACAAGGAGACTTGCTGATTTTAAATTGCTGGTCCACCTACAGAAGCACACAGCTTCTCGTGCTTTGCACCATCATAGGGCCACCAAAAGCAAAGAACACATTCAAGAACCCAGTCCACAGGATTTTAGCTCCTGATTCTCCTGTTTCTTTCCCACCCCAGTTAACAGAGAATTGGCAGGGCTGAATCAGCTGACACAATCTAGTCTCTTGGCAGTGGCAAATATAAAATTATACCGAAGACTTTGCAAAAATCATCCTGTGTAATTGTATGCTATAGAAAGCTACAGCTATACCTGAAGAATACACCTCAACAAATACAACAGCAAATTATCCTGTCAACCATACCCTCATTCTCTAAAATCAAGCTTCCTTATTTATTCCATAATCTATTACTGTTCTATTTTAATTCTCCACAGTATGAGGTTATATCATCGAGAGGAAACAGACTGCTAAAAGCTTTCTTATGAACTGCATCGAAATCAATTTGTATGCTAAATTTAGTTGTGCTACTGAAATAAGTACGAGCATTACACTTGCAAATATTTGTAACTAAGTATTGTTACAGAAAAACATGTAAATCTTAATTTTCTTCTTTAAAGAAAAAAAAGAAAGGGAATTGGAGACATTTTCTTCATTACCATAAATTAAGAAATTAATTCTCTCTTGCATTTCCTCATCTGCCTATTACAATTCATAAATCTGGTATCCAAAAAAACCCCACTGAAAATCCGTTGACTAGAATTTTGCCTGAGTAAGACAGGACTGACAGAAAGAGTTGGAAGAAGAAGACAGATCTAATTTGGGAGGAATAGCAAGAGATTCTGGCCACACACGATGAATCTTCAGCATTAAAATTTCTGAGCATGAGATATGAGAGAGCTTTTGCATAACACTGTTTGCTGATATAACCACACATTTGAAAAGAGAGAATTCTCATGTGACATTCCTTACTTTTTCTTTCTTTATGCCTTTAAATTTAGTGTCTTGTCAAATTCTATAAAGCTTGCCCTTACAAGCGTGCTTTGCAAGTTTGGTAAGGAATCTTGTCACGTACACTTAAATCTGCATTTCTTGACACAGATGTGGTGGGCTGAGCTTGGCTGGAGGCCAGGACTCCACCAAGCCACCCCAGCACTCCCCTCCTCAGCAGGACTGGGGGCAGGAGGGGAAGAAGATGAAATAAACCTCGCGGGTCAAGGTAAAGGCAGTTTAATAAAACAAAAGCAAAGGCCATGAGCAGAAGCAAAGGAAAACACAAGATTCACTCTCCTCGTCCCATGAGCAGCCCATACCCAGGCACCTCCTGGCCAGTAGGGCTTCAGTACAATTGCTGCAGAGAACAAGCACTAATAAAGAACACCCTCTCCCTCCACCAGCTTCTTGTTCTAACCTTTCCTCCTTTTCTCCTCCATTAATAATCAAGTGCCCACCAAGCTGCTCTATCACTCCCCTAATCCTGGGCTTGCCCCTCATCGTGGGCTTCACAAGTTAAATAAGGAATCTGGTCATACACATTTACATCTCCTTTTTTTTTTTCCACGGAATAGAGCTCAGTTCCCCGTGACAAATGCAGATCTTAATTCACACACAATCCTGCTTCTAAAGTAAATATTCTCATTATGTGCATTTTGTTTTAATTTCTTGGCCCACTCTGATCATCACTAAACCTAATTTCTCCCCAGGCCCCAAACCAGCAGTGAGGAATGCTGATCCTAAGGCATTCTACTACTGTTTAAAAAAACCCCAGATAATTGTGTAGTCCCTAGAGTTTTCTGAGAGCAAAAACTGCCCTCCATTACATCAGGAATCTATTCTGGAATCTGACAGGGCAGTGCTGACATATTTAATCTGAAGTATCAGACTTGACTACTATTCAGTCAGCTTCTCCAGGTCATCTCACATAAGTAGTTTGGCAAAAAAACAAGTATTGCCTAAAGAATTGAGTTCACTGAACAAAAATGCATCCCCATACAGGCTAAAAAACTTTAGTACTGCAAATTCAGAGCAGCTTTGCACCTATTTTTTAAGAAACAACCTGTAAATTTATATCCTTCCTAATTCCCTTTTTTGCTGTGGGTTGAGAGTTGTTGATGAGCCAAATCTTGTAGGCTGTAATCACAAGAACCAGAAGGTCAAGAGGAAGAGACTTTTAGAAATGTAACAAGTCAAACAGACTTGAGAGGAATAATCTGCAAAGATACATGCTGGAGAGGGAAAAAATCAATTTTTTAGTTATTAAAAAGAGGTTTAATTAAAACCTTTGTCATCAGTATCATAGCAAAATGCAGAGCTTTGTATTTAGGTGATCCTTACCATGACAACTTTTAGGCAGTCCAATTATGCTGCTATGACAACACTGGCCTCCTTTCTTTCACCCCTTCCTTTTGGAGAAATACTGCTAGTAGTACCAGAGTCACTAAATTGTGTATTAGTTAACTGAAAAATCATCAGTAACAAGTATTTTGACC